TTGATCAAACACAAATCAAGATTCTGTTACTGTACTGTTTATTTCTGCCCTCAAAAGTTTTCTGAAACGTATTTTAGTGCACTATTTAGCTGTAATTTGAGATCGTTTTTATAACAGACGGACGCCATTTTCAAATCAAATCAAATCAAGTTTTATTTATATAGCACATTTTTAAACGATTTTTGGTCGAGCCAAAGTGCTGTACATATAATAAAAAAATACCCTACAGTAAAGACACTTTACAGCAAATACAACAGCACAGTTTGTTCAGAATATCAGTATGAGAAAACGACACCCTCTGTCCTTAGACCCTCTGTCCTTAGACCCTCTGTCCTTAGACCCTCACATCGTACAAGGAAACACTTCCAGAGAAACCCCACAGTTTAAAGGGGAACATGGGAGAAACCTCAGGGTGTCCCGATCTGTCTGTGTTGTGTTGTGTCTTGTCTTTTTCTGTCTCTGGTTTCCTGTTTTGTTTTGAAATGTTTTCCTCCTTGTGTCTTGTCTGATCCTACTCCCTGTGTTTGCCTTCCCGTCGTTAGTTTCCCTGGTGTGTCTGATTTCCTGATTGTGTTCACCTGGTGCCCCTGTGTTTTCTCCTCCCTCCTCACCTGTGTCTTGTGGTGTGATTAGTCTTGTGTGTATTTAAGTTCTGGTTTTTCTGTCTGTCTTAGTTAGATCCTTGTTTGTCTGTGACTGTGTTCACGGGTTAGTGTTCTTTTTGTTACCGCTAAAACCTTAATAAAGGTATTTTCTTTGTTATCTGCATTCGGGTCCTGCCTGCTTCACTCAACCCTAACAGAAGGATCTAACCAGAGAATGGACCTAGCAGTGTTTTTCGAGGATGAGGTTGGCAAATTATCCTGCAAACTTTTATGTTTTCTTGGTGAGTGGATGAGGGCTCATGGTAAAGAGGCTCAGGAGGCTGCTCTTTCACGAGCACGCCGGGAAGTTGCAGATAAGCCCTGGTTAAGGAGCTCACTGAGTTTTTAAGGGACTTTGTGACTCCTCCCGATAAACTGCACGACTGCTTTAAACCTCGAGACCCAGCAGCCATGTTTCTGGCTCACGTTCCGGCCCCAGTTCTGGCCCCAGCAGCCATGGTTCCAGCCCCAGTTCTGGCCCCAGCAGCCATGGTTCCAGCCCCAGTTCTGGCCCCAGCAGCCATGGTTCCAGCCCCAGTTCTGGCCCCAGCAGCCATGGTTCCAGCCCCAGTTCTGGCCCCAGCAGCCATGGTTCCAGCCCCAGTTCTGGTCCCAACAGCCATGGTTCCAGCCCCAGTTCTGGTCCCAACAGCCATGGTTCCAGCCCCAGTTCTGGTCCCAACAGCCATGGTTCCAGCCCCAGTTCTGGTCCCAACAGCCATGGTTCCAGCCCCAGTTCTGGCCCCAGCAGCCATGGTTCCAGCCCCAGTTCTGGCCCCAGCAGCCATGGTTCCAGCCCCAGTTCTGGTCCCAACAGCCATGGCTCCGGCTCCAGAACCGGCCCATACAGCCATGGTCCAGGCCTTTGTTCCGGTCCCAGCAGCCATGGTCCCGACTCCAGTTTCGGCTCCAGTACTGGCTCCCCGGCCGACGCCAGCCCCCCGTGTTTTGTTAGTGGTTCGGCCCACTCCAGCCCCCCGTGTTTTGTTAGTGGTTCGGCCCACTCCAGCCCCTCGTGTCCTGTCGGTGGTCCGGCCGACTCCAGCACCTCGTCTCCTGTTGGCTCTCCGGCCGACGCCAGCCCCCCGTGTCCTGTTGGCTCTACGGTCGACGCCTACCCCCTGTCCTGTACCGTTGGAGGTCCCGCCGACTACTCTTCTGCCGGGGGTCTTGCCAACCCTATGTCCTGTCCCGTTGGGGGTCCCGCCGACTACTCTTCTGCCGGGGGTCCTGCCAACCCTATGTCCTGTGCCGTTGGAGGTCCCGCCGACTACTCTCCTGCCGGGGGTCTTGCCAACTCCATGTCCTGTCCTGTTGGGGGTCCCGCCGACTACTCTTCTGCCGGGGGTCCTGCCAACCCTATGTTCTGTGCCGTTGGAGGTTCCTCCGACTACTCTTCTGCCGGGGGTCCTGCCAACTCCATGTCCTGTCCCATTGGGGGTCCCGCCGACTACTCTCCTGCCAGGGGTCTTGCCAACTCCATGACCTGTCCCATTGGGGGTCCCGCCGACTACTCTCCTGCCGGGGGTCCTGCCAACCCTATGTCCTGTGCCGTTGGGGGTCCCGCCGACTACTCTTCTGCCGGGGGTCTTGCCAATCCTATGTCCTGTTCCGTTGGGGGTCCCGCCGACTACTCTCCTGCCGGGGGTCTTGCCAACTCCATGTCCTGTCCCATTGGGGGTCCCGCCGACTACTCTTCTGCCGGGGGTCCTGCCAACCCTATGTCCTGTCCTGTTGGGGGTTCCGCCGACACCTGCTCCGCCGGGTTTCCTGCCAACACCAGATCCTGTCCTGTTGGGGGTCCCGCCGACACCTGCTCCGCCGGGTTTCCTGCCAACACCAGATCCTGTGCTGTTGGGGTTTCCGCCGACACCTGCTCCGCCGGGTTTCCTGCCAACACCAGATCCTGTCCTGTTGGGGGTCCCGCCGACACCTGTCCCGCCGGGGGTCCTGCCAACTCTGTGTCCTGTCCTGTTGGAGGTCCCGCCGACACCTGTTCCACCGGGGGTCCTGCCAACTCTGTGTCCTGTTCCGTTGGGGGTCCAGTCGACACCAGCCCTTGCTCCATCCGGGGTCCCATTGACACCAGCCCATGTCATGTTCAGGATCCCATCTACGCCTGTCCTGTCGGCTCCGGTTCCTGTCCGGCCGATACTGGGTCCTGCCTGGCCTCCGGAGCTGTCCCGTCGGCGCCTTCCTGCTCGTCCTCCGGGGTTGTCCCGTCGCCGCCTTCTTGTTCGCCCTCGAGCCCGGCCCCCTGAGTGCCGCGGTCTTCGCCCTCGAGCCCGGCCCCCTGAGTGCCGCTGCCTTCGCCCTCGAGCCCGGCCCCCTGAGTGCCGCGGCCTTCGCCCTCGAGCCCGGCCTCCTGACTCTTTCAGCCGCTGCCTTTGCTCTCATGCCCGGCCCCCTGAGTTCGCCCGCTGTGCAGGGCTCGAGCTTAAGGACGTCCCGTCGTCCCGGGGCCGAAAAAAATAGGGTCGGGGAGGATAAAAAATAATCTTGGGACGAATTTGGGACGAGAGTTAAAATAAAAATACCCTGATAACTCTACTACAGTACGAACGGCGATGAAAATGAAACTGACTGCACGTTTTGTGTAGCACACAGTTATTAAACCTCCTTGTCAACATAAACACACACGCACAAAACATTTAGCAAACCGCGAAATACACACACACACACACACACACACACACACACACACAGCTGTGCCCGCAAACTCCTGGCCCGCAAATTATTGGGTCTAGCTATGTACTGAGTGTGTGTATTTCGCGTTGAGTGATGTACAATGACAATGGCATCCCGTGGAGGAATTCTGCAATTGTTTACGTTACATCACGAAAACGCACAGCAGAACCTAACCCTGGAGCGCCGGCCTCTTTATTTACTAACTCCTCTTCATCCCCTATGGGTAATAAGGCTGAGATGAGAACTCTCCATCGTATTTAGTCCTTAGCAATATGCTGCGTCTCTCCCCATGTAGGGATGGGTACCGAGCCCCGGTATTAAACGGGCCCCGGGCCGGAATTATTAAAGACAGTGGTAGCGTTAAGCTCCGACGTTATCTGACTTTTTATCGGTAGTGGAGACATTTAAAACATATATGTCATGTATTATTGCTACATGAACATTATATCGCAGTTTTAGTTTCGCCAACTCCGTTTCTAATATGCAATAAGTCTACAAAATGCGTCTATGATGTATTTTCGATCTTATTTTCGATCTTTCCAATCCAGACGAGAGAGCTCTCTCCCCCGTCTGTGTGCGAGGGGGCGGGGCAGTTTGTAAAGGTCTCCTGACTGTGTTACAGACTGTCATCCTGGTTAGTGGTTACTCTGGGTTCTGTCTTCTGTCTTCAGGACAGAGTGTTGGATGTTTTTGATAATTGGATAGAACTTGATTGGATTCAATATTAGAGTAACTTTCTCGCTTGTGTGTTTTTTTTTAAATATATTTGGCCTTTGTTTATGTGTTTGACTGATTTACTCAATTAAAAGGTTGATGAATTATCATCTAATGATTTGTATGATGTTTTATTTATGTTAAAGGTCACTTGAATGATTTTAACTAATGATAATGTAGAAAAACTAATATTTTAAATTCGGGACGGTCCACATTAATTTCGGGACGGCTTAGATTGTATTTCGGGACGGTTCCGGGAGGATGGTGAAAGAAGTTAGCCGAGAGCCCTGCCGCTGTGGTCTTCGCCCTTCCTTGATCTCTGCCTTGCCCCCGGGCCGTCCGCCTGAGACCCCTTCCGGGTCCTCCGCTGTGCCCCTGGGCTGACCCCTACTCTGCAGGACTTGCAAAATATTATTCTCGGCTATGACACAAAACCTTTTTCGGGCCTCAGTGTATTTCTCCTTAAGTCAGGAGCCCCCCCCCCCCTCCCCCTGTGTACTGCTGTGAGGGGAGAGAGAAGAAACTGCCTCTCCTCTTATCAGTGACACCCATAAACCATTACAGGCCTTACACTCTCAATTTAACAAACATAGAATTCCAGAGAAATATTGTACTTTAACACAAAACTTGAATTTTCCAATATATTTTATTTTTTCAAAAGAAATTGACTGTGAACACAGAAAAGAAACGGCTGTCACAATGAAGTCAAATGATGAACATGAGAGAAATCAGATTATACCAGAGTTTAAATAAAGGGTCTCTCTTCTCAAACCCAACATGTACTAGGAAAGCAGACATTTAGAAATGTAAATGTGCAGTAGTTGCTCAGAGACGACTGCTCTCAGACTTGATGTGAAACCTCCAGGAACAAAAGGATGGAGGAGTGAACACATTACCCTTCATCCCTCCCCCTAAATCCCACCCTTGATACCCCCTCCTCTCTAAAGATGACCCCAGTCTAGTCTCCTTCAAGTACTTTAGCTTCAAATGGGCCATTTCAATTCTGCATTCAGAAAGGAGATTATTCAAGAATAAAAGTAGCGATGCAGCACAAGATGTAAATATTTATTTAACGACCCTCCTTCACCGCAATTCAACGGAAGATGATGGACTTTCATATTTCAAACATTTAACACCTTTCTCCAGAAATAGTGACTCTCAGTGAGTTTCAGTTCTAACCTGGATAACTGCGACTGAGTCTCACATTACTAGTGTCTCTCTTCTCATACCCAACGTGTCTTAGTGTTTTAAAGATCACTTCAAAAAGGACAAAAACTCAAACATTTCAATTGAACATAAATGTGAAATAAAAATATTCAGTGAATGTTGGGCAACTAAACATAGCAAGAACCTTTCTGAACTCGATGCTCACTAAAATTGCAACTACACACAACGGGTAATTGATTAGGAAGTATTATACATAAAGACTATATTAAGAAATGTACGGAAAAGATCAAGAGATGCTTCTATTTACAGATGTTCCCTAAACGTCTCATTCACAGGCTGCTGGTAGACAGATCATTGTTACGTTCAGCATCGCAGCAACAGTATAAGGCTGCTTTATTCAAATCAAAAAACATTTTCATTAACCAGAGCACTCTCATATAGAGCTAAGTGTGTGAGGACAGCAGGGTTTTGGGAGGTCTGAATGTAGTCCATAAAAAACATGTTTATTAGAACGTAAAGTCACTGTTGGTCAGCTTTACATTTGGAGAAAAGCAGGAGGAATGCTAGCTTGACTCAGAAAAGGATCAGATGGAGGCAGAGTGAGTGCGCTGGTGGGCTTTAAGATTACTACATGAGAAAAGGTTTTCCCACACTCTTCACACCAGTATGGTTTCTCTCCTGTGTGAATACGATGATGGACTGAGAGATCACTTGATGAAGTGAACGTTTTTCCACACTCTTCACAGCTGTGTGGTTTTCCTCCAGTGTGAATGAGCTGATGAGTTGAAAGGGTGCGTTTCTGAGCAAAGGTTTTCCCACACATTTCACAGCTGTGTGGTTTCTCTCCAGTGTGGATGCTCTGGTGGGATGAAAGGCCGCTTTTTTGAGAAAATGTTTTCCCACATTGGTCACAGCTGTGTGGTTTCTCTCCAGTGTGAATACGATAATGCCTCTGAAGATCACTTGATGTAGTGAAATCTTTCCCACATTGGCCACAGCTGAAACGTTTTGGTTCCTTTCTTCTCATCTGTTTCTAAAAAAGACAGACAGATAAAGAGTCAGTGAGAGGACGTGATGCAGATATATCTAAAAACTAAAATAAGAGTCTGTAAAATAAACCCCACAATGTTCAAGTTTGATTTCTCATTAAATAAAAGTACAGGTTTAAATACATACTGATATACACCTGAACATCAGCAGGAGATGACTCTTTAAAGTAGAGACACTACATACTGTTATTACATGGCTTAGTTGAATACTCAATTCTGATTGGCCAATTCAGAACACGTGACACGTTGTTAATCCAGTAGTACAGACCGCTGTCAAGGACTTATTGACCGTTGTTAAGGACGCTCACATCTGCAGAAAGAAGTCCGGTCGATTGAACTGTATACTTTTCAAACTGTTTGCTTGTCTTTAGTTTTCCATTGTCTCCCGTCTGAGAACAACATGGAGGATTTTAATATTAATTGTAATATATTTGGAGAGCACAGATTAATGGCTGATGAGTCCCCAGCGAAGAAAAGAAAAAGAGAAGAGGGACAAGAAAACAGCGAATAAGTAACGGGGCAGAAACCCTCAACACGGAGCTGCGGTCCTTTTTACGCAACGTTCCAGCCATCAAACGGCAAAACATATTCAGTTAACAGTTACTTTGGCATTAGGGGAGGGGTATCTAGATACTTTCCAAGGTTTGACATCATGAATTGTGGTACTTTTAAAGCAAGCAACGATGTTTTCAAATCTGTAATAAAAAAACTCTATCGAAGCAGATCCTGCCGTTGCTACGTAGTCTTAGCGGATGCATGTCAGTTTAAATCAATAAAACAATTTTTTAAATCAATACAATTATTTTTTTAAATCAATACAATTATTTTCTAAATCAATAAAAGCATTTCAAATCAAACTTGCAAAATCCTGTAAAATTACAGATATGAACTATAAATTAACAACCCAAAACATTATTTTAAGTATTTTGACAATAACAACAAATAACATTTATTTCATTTTTTTTTTAAAGTAAATTTACTATATAATATTTACAGTATTTTTGCACTTTCAGAAAATACATGCAGATGTAGGTAAAATAAAAATTATTATCTGTAATTAAATATGTAACTCGTAATATAAAAGTGTATTACTATTATAAGATTTTAAGATATTTCTTTGTAATTTTAAGGTTATCATAAAACTGTAAAAAAAAGTGTAAAATACAAAAAACGTACATTTTTTTTACATAAATCATTTTCTCAATATTCGTTTGAATCCACCACAAACACAAAATATCCAATGTTGAAACAAAAGTAAATAAATATGTTTTCATGAAATTCCTAACTTACTATATTGTAAACATCTACAGTTGACAATATCATTTAAAAAAATAAAAATCATAGAAAGTGGAGAAATCTCTGCAGGGAGGACCCAGGTTTAAAACACACACTGTTATTTACTCAACAATAAGTCACAGTTATCCTTGTTTTATTTATGTGTTTTTTTTTCCATTGGTCAATATACAGTAATAAGCCTTAGTCTTACATGCAGTATAATGTGTATGGTTTTCGGATTCTGGCCGACAGCCAGAGCTACGGCACTTGAAATAGAATTCAGCCATAACACGGCAGACAAGTCAGGCAGAATTGGAATGAGTCCACAACACTCCTGATTGGTTAATATTAACGTAATCGAAGAAACCTGCCAATGAGAACTGCCCGCGCCTGTTGTTCACATTTGAAACATTCACGTCAGTTTGAGCGGCTCTCCTGCGGAGCTACAGCTGTCTGTATTTCTGCTGCAGGAGTTTATGGATTAATATCGGGATCGTTTTACATCTACACGTTGAATATGAGCATCGGGACGTCAACAAAGAACAGAAGACTTGAGATCTGGTGAGTCCTGCGACTGTAATGGAGTTAAACATGTATTTAGATAATCCTTAGTTTGTGAATGTTTTATTTTTTATTTAAGGTTACGTTTCTTCTTCTAGTTAGCTGAGTTTTGGTCGTACAGTGAATAAACTTATACATATGGAATCTGTGGAATCTCAGCTTTCATATGATATGTCGATTGTGCAGATAATATGAAGTAGAAAAGATCGCCTTTATGTGCTAAAGTAGCGTTAGCCCCGTTAGCCCGTTTTCGCTAAGTGCTGATTTAGAGCTTGGCGTTAGAATTGAATTTCGTTTAGGTAAAAATTGTTAATATCGTCAGTTTGCTGAGTTTCTTCCCGTTAAGTGGGTATGCATCATTAATAGGTTGTTAAATGTTAAGAAGCCCTGAGATGCTGTTTCTTGCAAGATGTTGCGCCCGGGAAACCGGGCTTAACAGGTGGCTGCTAACGTTAGCTTACAGCTTATTGCAGTGCTGCTGCGCCACCCTCTCGTCTCCAACACGGGAGAATTACACATAAACATGCAGCGGGTTGTCACAGTGTTGTCGCCAAGTTTATTGTAAAGTTTCACAGCTTTCTTACAGCGGAATCCAGTTTGTTAATGTTCAGTAGCCAACAGCTAGCATAGCATAAACGGCTAACCGCTAACGTTTGGCTAACTTGCTAGTTAGCTCTGCTCGATATATTACAAGCTAACATGACTAGCTAATGTCACAGTGTGTGAACTAAAATAGTTTTGTATTACTACATCATACATGCTTGGTCCAAATCACTGCTAAAATAACATAATATTCAATGTGGTTTAGTAAAGTATTTAAAAATACCCCACATTGTACATGTACAGGACAATCAGACCTTGTTCAACAAAGATCATCAGAGAATTGTTTTGTCTTTTGAGGTACAGCCGCAGCAGAGAGTCTGAGTTTGAAGAAAACACTAACATTTTATTTAGTGTTGTTTAATCAGTCAATATTTACTGGTCTTGAATTTCCTCACTGGATTACAAAATGCTCGAATCTTATTGTACAGGGACATTATGCAGATTGAATCACCTGAAGATGAAAATATAGATTCAGCGATATGTACCATTTGAAGGAAATAGACTGTTAGCGGTATTGACCGAAGCTCCGCAGCTGTAGCTAGGCGCTGCTAATGAAAACTCAAGTGCTCAATTTGTTACTTTTGCTTTTTTATTAAGAATTGACCAAGCATATCTTCCTCTTCGAAATCCCAGTTGTACTTCGCTAACACGCAGTGCCTGGGAGGGTGCGTTTGATTGTTCCCACCCTTACCTCATTTATGGACTAGGTCATGTTAGACAAGCAATCCAGTGGTTAGTTTTAGGGTAAGCTCCATTGTTTAATGTATTCACTTTAAGAGAAAGGGATTTCAGAAACAAGTCTCACAAGTTTGGCTCGAGGTAACATTAACAAAAGCTAACTGTTAGACTATGTTCCCCCTTCTAAACTTATGAAATGAATGAGAAAAATATGAACGACTCTTCATAGAGCCACATCCACACAGCTTTAAAGTGGTAGGAAGCTGAAGCATTGCATTCGTGCCAGCGCCTAGTTGTAGTTTCTAAGGTTTTAGAAAGTAGTTTTTTCTGGAAGGGGTTTAGCATTCGATCAATTCCCTTGGGATGCTATCAAGAACTGTTTTACAATCAATAGTGTGTTTAAGTTTCCAACCCTGCTTCAAAGGTCCATCATACAAGATGGGGGATCTATTGGCAGCTGCTGATAATAACATTCATCATTATGGTTTACTAATTGTTGTCTTTTTGTCCTCTAGGTTGCACTGCCACGTCTACAGTAGCGCAGAATGGACAGAGGAAACATGATTGGGCCTCAAGTTTTTTGCAGCCAATATACATTCTCCTACAAACTTGGGATAGGAGGGTGAGTGAACAAGTTATCCATTGGTTGGAACCTACCATTGTTAGACGTACTAAATCCTGCACACTGCTCCTTCAAATGGAAAATGCGAACATATGTCGCCATTTTGTAATTTCTGTTATTTTCAGTTGAGAATGTTTCAAAGTAATCTTAAAAAATTAAACTTACTTTTTGTTTATACTGTTTATAAGTAGATGTTTAAATATTAAATGCTGTATTCATTAATGGTTGTATAATTCTACAAATATCTTTATATTTTAAGTTTTCAGAGTAATTGTTCCCTACAGAACATTTTGTGCTGTCATTTTATTGAACGTGTTTGATTGGAAAATGTTAGAAGAAAGCTGTAAAATAACAGTATTCTCCCCGTAGAACTTTAGGTTCTGTATTTATTTTGTGTTTGATCATAAAAATCTAATAAAGAAAATGTAAAAAACAGTTTTTCTCATCAGAACTTTATTTAACCTGTTACGCACCGCCCCCCCGGTACCGGGCGGATAAACGCGTCATTTGCAGGAAACAACGTCTAAGGAATCTTAATATTTAATAAACTAGTAATGTTTGATATCCATGTAACGGGAAGAAACTCAGCTAACTGATCTTTTAAACCTTTTTTTTTTTTTAAAAACCCACAATGCTAACACTCACATTAGCCACGAGCGAAAAATGTAACCTATCACTGCACCTAAACTCACAATAACTCCCTTATTACTTATCCTAGATGCACAGCCAACCCCTCGATTAGCATCTCCTGGAGACACTGAATCTGGGGGTGCCCACCTCAACACTCAGTGATAAACATTTGCGACACTATAAACGAAAGCGTACATCATAACATGTGGAGCTAGGTAGCTAGAAACGCTAACATGGCTTACCTTGGTCAAAACTGGTCTTCAATGGCATTAAAACGATAAAAACGATGCTGCAGTTAATCCATAGGTTCATCCAATGTGTCTGTGTCCTCTTTGAAATGATTTCTGATAATCCATAAGCAATAAAACTGCTTTTTAGTTTCCAAATGTCAGAGCTAGAGCTAGGTCCACTCTGCTGCTAAATTACATGCGCGCAGCCCCCACCTCTTCTCTTCACAACGTACGTGTGTGTGTGGGGGCCTCCCCCTTCGATTCTATTGGCTCTAACGGTCAGAAAGAGGTGTCAACCATCACAATCGACCAAGGGGGGCCAGAGATATGGAAAAAAAAAACATTTTCACCCAAATCACCTCAGAGGTGGGGTGGTTTTGGCTAAACCTCTCTAAAAAGGTCAAATGTCACTTGTTTTGCATCAATCTTGATACAGGGTACTTATTATATGTTGTACTTTGGATTCCTAAAGCTTTTAGTCTACTAACCCATCATCCAAGGGTAGTTTTCACTATCTGTAAAAAATAATTTTTGGACGGACACTATAATTTACAGTTTTTTACTACATTCACAGTAAATTGCTGTGAAAGTCATGCAAAGAGTTTTATTGTGAATATTTTTACAGTGTAGAGATGATTAAAGTAGAGACACAACATACGGATATACACCTGAACATCAGCAGGAGAGGACTCTTTAAAGTAGAGACACTACATACTGATATACACCTGAACAGCTGCAGGAGAGGACTCTTTAAAGTAGAGACACTACATACTGATATACACCTGAACATCAGCAGGAGAGGACTCTTTAAAGTAGAGACACTACATACTGATATACACCTGAACATCAGCAGGAGAGCACTCTTTAAAGTAGAGACACTACATACTGATATACACCTGAACATCAGCAGGAGAGGACTCTTTAAAGTAGAGACACTACATACTGATATACACCTGAACATCAGCAGGAGAGGACTCTTTAAAGTAGAGACACTACATACTGATATACACCTGAACATCAGCAGGAGAGGACTCTTTAAAGTAGAGACACTACATACTGATATACACCTGAACATCAGCAGGAGAGGACTCTTTAAAGTAGAGACACTACATACTGATATACACCTGAACATCAGCAGGAGAGGACTCTTTAAAGTAGAGACACTACATACTGATATACACCTGAACATCAGCAGGAGAGGACTCTTTAAAGTAGAGACACTACATACTGATATACACCTGAACATCAGCAGGAGAGGACTCTTTAAAGTAGAGACACTACATACTGATATACACCTGAACATCAGCAGGAGAGGACTCTTTAAAGTAGAGACACTACATACTGATATACACCTGAACATCAGCAGGAGAGGACTCTTTAAAGTAGAGACACTACATACTGATATACACCTGAACATCAGCAGGAGAGGACTCTTTAAAGTAGAGACACTACATACTGATATACACCTGAACAGCTGCAGGAGAGGACTCTTTAAAGTAGAGACACTACATACTGATATACACCTGAACATCAGCAGGAGAGCACTCTTTAAAGTAGAGACACTACATACTGATATACACCTGAACATCAGCAGGAGGGGACTCTTTAAAGTAGAGACACGACATACTGATATACACCTGAACATCAGCAGGAGAGGACTCTTTAAAGTAGAGACACTACATACTGATATACACCTGAACATCAGCAGGAGGGGACTCTTTAAAGTAGAGACACGACATACTGATATACACCTGAACATCAGCAGGAGAGGACTCTTTAAAGTAGAGACATAACATACTGATGTACACCTGAAGATCAGCAGGAGAGGACTCTTTAAAGTAGAGACACTACATACTGATATACACCTGGACATCAGCAGGAGAGGACTCTTTAAAGTAGAGACACTACATACTGATATACACCTGAACATCAACAGGAGAGGACTCTTTAAAGTAGAGACATAACATACTGATGTACACCTGAAGATCAGCAGGAGAGGACTCTTTAAAGTAGAGACACTACATACTGATATACACCTGGACATCAGCAGGAGAGGACTCTTTAAAGTAGAGACACTACATTCTGATATACACCTGAACATCAGCAGGAGAGGACTCTTTAAAGTAGAGACACTACATACTGATATACACCTGAACATCAACAGGAGAGGACTCTTTAAAGTAGAGACACTACATACTGATATACACCTGAACATCAGCAGGAGAGGACTCTTTAAAGTAGAGACACTACATACTGATATACACCTGAACATCAACAGGAGAGGACTCTTTAAAGTAGAGACACTACATACTGATATACACCTGAACATCAGCTGGAGAGGACTCTTTAAAGTAGAGACACTACATACTGATATACACCTGAACATCAGCAGGAGAGGACTCTTTAAAGTAGAGACACTACATACTGATATACACCTGGACCCATATTTAAAAATACGAGTCTGTAAAATAAACCCCACAATGATGAAGTTTGTTTTCTCCTTAAAGCTCCCATGTCATGCTTTTCCGGTTATTACCCGTCCCCTTGTGTTATGAAGGTTTCTCTGCATGTAAACGGTCTGCAGAGTCAAAACCCCTCAAAGTACACCCTGTAGCGAGTAAAACTCTAACACAGAAAATACCTCCCCAAAACACCTCGTTGGAGATTTCTCATTTTCCATTGTTTACTTCCTGGGTATCGCTACGTAGGGATACCCAGTAGCCACGCCCAGAGCTATGGCCGCACCCTCTGCCAGCCTTTCACGTAACAAAGCAATTACGTAACAATATCAAGCCACACTTATTGTTTTTACTTCGGCTGTGAGTGTTTGTGTGTGCTCAGGATGAGTTTCGCTTGTTCTAGCTTTATCGCCAAACCTGTCTGCTCCTCCAGCAGTGTGTGTGTCTGTGTGTGTGCGAGCAATGCTAACTGGGCTAACTAAGTTGCTAACGTTTCCATCTCCAATGTTAGCAGATGGCCTTACATGTATCTGATAGCTGGAGAATGTCTGCAATCAAACACGAAATACTCAGACAGTATACTCCGGGTGATTTACCGTACGGTCAGTACATTATAGTTGGCGTTCCTGGCGTGTATGCTACCGAGCTACCGTTCATAGCGTGTATGCTACATAGCTAAACAACAAGGCTACCTACAGCTAGACATGCTAGGGAAAACATTGTTTTCATGCCAGCTACAATGATTGACCGAACGTAGCAGACTACCCGTATAAGATTGCAATTGTAAACATGTTCTTGCTAGCCTAGACTAGCTGTATAGTAGATTGGCATATTACACTGAACAACTAGCAAACGTAGGTTAGCATATTAGCTGGCAAGCTAACTGTGTTGATTAGATAGATAGATTAGATAGATACACACTCCTACCACAACTACTACTAACGAATCTAAAACAACTAAGTTTCTCTAATATTTTGTGATTTGCATTTGATTTCGTCCAGCCAGATCAGGAAACTCCTGGCGTATCTGGCGGACAACACACACACGGGATGACCACTCTGATGCCTCGTCCTAAAAAGCCCCGGCAGCCGCTTACAAAGCTGCGATAGGCAAGATGCCGAAAACGCCTATAAGGGGAGGAATGGATGATATACAGTGTATATATGTATATACCTATAACAGTGTTAGGAATATATTGTGATGAAGTGAACACTGACCTGAGGTCTGGGGGTCTCTTTGTTCTCCTCCATGCTGCTCTCAGTGCTCCTTCTCCTGCTGGGTCTCTGAAATAAGTATTAACACTACAGTCAACACAAACCCAATCTACAGCTAAGAAGTAGCTTAGCAGCAGAGGTGGGAAGTACATTTACTCAAGTACTGTACTTAAGTACAACCATAGAGGTACTTGTACTTTACTTGAGTATTTCCATTTCCTGCTACTTTGTACAAATCAATACAAGACGCAACATAAGTGTTTTTATACTTGAGATATGAGTGTCATCTCAAACTAGAGAATGCAATTCCTGAAGAAATTGCTAGTGGGAATGCTTTATGCTGAAAAGCTGACGCTAAACTGCTATGCTGAAATGTAATGTGTAAGAAAGTGAAGAATTTAGATTGAAATGATACATGAACACTGGGGGCTTGAATGTGTGATGAGAGAAGAAAAGAAAGTAAAAAGGCTTGGAAAAGCAGCAGAATATTTGAACTGCAAACTTTTGAACTAACTTGATGGCGAATGATCTGTCGCCATGCCAACGGCATTTGATGACATGCCATAACACGCTTAGATGCGTTGATGGCTGCATCGTTACCAAACCTGTGAAGTTTTGGGCCATTTGGAGCATTTTCACGCCATGGCAACGGCATGTCCCGTATATGTCTTCACGGCTGGACTGTTAGCACACATGTGAAGTTTGAGCACTTTTTGAAAATGTTCATAGGAGTTATAGCGACATCATGTTTTATGGCGAGGGATGCGTTTCCATGGAAACGGCATATGGTGAGATCTCAGATTTGGCGTAGAGCTGTTGAGCCATGGACCGGTGATATACAAGTGAAGATTGGGGGACGATTGGACCGTGTCCGTTGGACTAACAGCGACATCTTTTTTCATGGCGAGTGGTCTGTCGCCATGGCAACGGCATTTGATGACACCCCATACTATGCTTAGATGCGTTGATGGCTGCATCGTTACCAAACCTGTGAAGTTTTGGGCCATTTTCACTGAAGTTGAAACCGTGTTTCATGGCGGGCATTGTGTTGCCATGGCAACGGCATGTCCCGTAGATGTCTTCACGGCTGGACTGTTAGCACACATGTGAAGTTTGAGCACTTTTTGAACATTTTCATAGGAGTTATAGCGACATCGTCTTTTATGGCGAGGGATCAAAGGTTTGCATTGTTCTGAATGAGAGATAAACCTCTTACATGTGAACGTTTTGTGGAAGAACGATAACAGATATCTGTGAAATTTCAAAACGTGAAGCATGTCAAGGAAGTTGAGTATCTGAAGTGTAATTTTTGTGTATTTTCGGGTTAATAATGTGGCCTTTTTGGCAGTTTAACTAAAGGTGTGCGGCTGCTGCTGTGAGGAAATATCTGCCTGAAATATCTCTAAAAGTAAGAATCAGATTTAAAAGTTGTCTTACACGAATAATGTGAGAAAGATGTGTAACATTTTAAAGTTGGAATGAGGTTTCTGAGTGAAAGTATGAATGAACAGTTAGCAGTTGAAGTCGCATGAAGATTTGTTGAAGTCTGAAGAATATCTCCATTGACTTCAATGGTTAAAAATGTGATGTATTATGGGATGTATCTCTGGAATTATGAAAGTTATGAATGAGAAAAGTAATAGCGCCCGATTCCCGACCGAGCTGAACGTTTTGATGTTGGAACAGAGTTTCTGCGATGTTGAATGTGGGAGGAGAAGAGGGCCAAAATAAGTCGGCGGAATAATAATAAACGTTTTGTCCGTAGCATAACATATAGTGGGAATGCTGTATCAGCATTCCCACTATATGAAGGCAGGGCTACACAGACTACTATAATGCTGTTTGAGTTTAAGCTTCAGTTGAAAGGAAACACAGTGTTTTTGTTTCATAAGTCAGGTGTCCATGTTCTGCATTAAACAACTCAAAGAATGCAAGTAGCCAAAATAAAAAGCAGAACGGAAATGAAGGCTGGTGGCAGCGCGTCTGAGGGGGGAGAATGCTACACACTGATCCACCATCTGCAGAGGGTTCTGGATGTGTGGGGCAGGTTCTGGGCTCACTGGGGGAGCATGCTACACACTGATCCACCATCTGCAGAGGGTTCTGGATGTGTGGGGCAGGTTCTGGGCTCACTGAGGGAGCATGCTACACACTGATCCACCATCTGCAGAGGGTTCTGGATGTGTGGGGCAGGTTCTGGGCTCACTGGGGGAGCATGCTACACACTGATCCACCATCTGCAGAGGGTTCTGGATGTGTGGGGCAGGTTCTGGGCTCACTGGGGGAGCATGCTACACACTGATCCACCATCTGCAGAGGGTTCTGGATGTGTGGGGCAGGTTCTGGGCTCACTGGTGGAGCATGCTACACACTGATCCACCATCTGCAGAGGGTTCTGGATGTGTGGGGCAGGTTCTGGGCTCACTGGGGGAGCATGCTACACACTGATCCACCATCTGCAGAGGGTTCTGGATGTGTGGGGCAGGTTCTGGGCTCACTGGGGGAGCATGCTACACACTGAAGGACTCTCTCATACTGACGTTTGAAAAGATAGGTGTAGTCTTTGTGTTGAAAGTGTGTAAAGGAGGATGATATTTCATTGTAGTCAATCTGCTTATTTATGAATTGAAATGTATTGTTTTTTTCTATCCTCACCTCCTTGTTTCCTTCACTTGTTCCCTGATTGGTTTCCTCCTCCTCGTCCCCTTTCCTCTTGACTCCTTTCCTCTCTGATGAAGATTTCTCCTCCTCTTCCTCAGACTTTGGTTCTGGGCTCTTCAGTTTCTTGTTGACTGTTGGAGAAAAAAATCATCCTTACAAAGTGTGTGAGTGAGTGTGTGTGAGTGTGAGTGTGAGTGTGAGTGTGAGTGTGAGTGTGAGTGTGTGTGTGTGTGTGTGTGTGTGTGAGTGTGTGAGTGAGTGAGTGTGTGTGAGTGTGTGTGTGAGTGTGTGTGTGAGTGTGAGTGAGTGTGTGAGTGTGTGTGTGTGTGTGTGTGTGTGTGTGAGTGTGTGTGTGAGTGTGGTGTGTGTGTGAGTGTGAGTGTGAGTGTGAGTGAGTGTGTGTGTGTGTGTGTGTGTTGTGTGGAGTGTGTGTGTGAGTGAGATGTGCGTGAGTTGCTGTGTGATAGTGTGAGGTGTTCGTGAAGTGCGTGGAGTTGTGAGTGAGTGTGAGTGAGTGTGAGCTGTGAGTGGAGTGTTGAGTGTGTGTGTTGTGTGGGTTGTGTGTGAGTGAGTGTGGAGTGAGTGTTCTGTGCTGTTGAGTGTGTGAGTGAGTGAGTGAGTGAGTGAGTGTGAGTGAGTGTGTGTGTGAGTGAGTGAGTGAGTGAGTGAGTGTGAGTGTGTGTGTGTGTGTGTGTGTGAGTGTGTGTGAGTGTGTGTGAGTGAGTGAGTGAGTGTGTGTTTCACCTGGAGGGGTGACAGCAGGAGCGTTGCTCTTTTCTCGCTCTGATTCAATCTGACAGATAAAGTTCAAAAGAGAAGAAAACACTGAGATGAGTCGCTAATGGGACGATAAGGAGCACGGCTTCATCAAATACAAATAATCAATAATCAATTACATTGAAAGTGGATCAATACAAAAGGTAAGAAGAATTAATAATAATACAAAACAGGAAAATAAATAAATAAGATACCTTGTTTATCCACAGTATCAAAGCAAATACAAGAAATACAAATAATGAATAATAATAATGAAAGGAGGAAATGATTGAGTAGAAGTTGCAGGACAGGAAGTCAAAGCAGAAAAAGGGAAAGAGGGCACAAATATAGAGTTTAAATAGACTACAAAATGGATGTAAAGCTACTTTTTCTATGTTTGTATAAATACTTTTCATTATATTTTATTGAAAAAATGGACAAGCAGTCCCAAAATCCACGTTCCCCTCCCCAGATTGTTACGTGTGCGTTAGCTTTAAGGTGAGAGCAGCTGGTTGTAAACTGGAGTCTAATGAAGAGAGGGGATTGAACAGAATATCACTTTGAACTAGAGAATGCAATTCCTGAAGAAATTGCTAGTGGGAATGCTTTATGCTGAAAAGCTGACGCTAAACTGCTATGCTGAAATGTAATGTGTAAGAAAGTGAAGCATTTAGATTGAAATGATACATGAACACTGGGGGCTTGAATGTGTGATGAGAGAAGAAAGTAAAAAGGCTTGGAAAAGCAGCAGAATATTTGAACTGCAAACTTTTGAACTAACTTGATGGCGAATGATCTGTCGCCATGCCAACGGCATTTGATGACATCCCATAACACGCTTAGATGCGTTGATGGCTGCATCGTTACCAAACCTGTGAAGTTTTGGGCCATTTGGAGCATTTTCACCGAAGTTGAAACCGTGTTTCATGGCGGGCATTGTGTTGCCATGGCAACGGCATGTCCCGTAGATGTCTTCACGGCTGGACTGTTAGCACACGTGAAGTTTGAGCACTTTTTGAACATTTTCATAGGAGTTATAGCGACATCGTCTTTTATGGCGAGCATGTCAAGGAAGTTGAGTATCTGAAGTGTAATTTTTGTGTACTTTCGGGTTAATAATGTGGCCTTTTTGGCAGTTTAACTAAAGGTGTGCGGCTGCTGCTGTGAGGAAATATCTGCCTGAAATTACAATGGGCTTTAATGGAGACATGGTGAACGTTTTTGTCACTTCATGCCCTCAAGAGGCATTTTGTTTAATTATTTTTGCTTAATTATTTGTCATTTTTCAAGCTACGAGATGTTTTCCTACGTTTGTCATGTAAAATGATGTCTCAGGAATGTAGGGTTTGGGAATTATGGCAGTTTAAAAAAAATATATGAAGGCACATTTCAAGATTTCCTACCCTCTAGCTGTGACATCACGCACTCTAGTTAATGTTAAAATCTGAAGACAACCTCTTTAACAAGGTCTGAACAATGTTTAATATCTCTAAAAGTAAGAATCAGATTTAAAAGTTGTGTTACACGAATAATGTCAGAAAGATGTGTAACATTTGAAAGTTGGAATGAGGTTTCTGAGTGAAAGTATGAATGAACAGTTAGCAGTTGAAGTTGCATGAAGATTTGTTGAAGTCTGAAGAATGTCTCCATTGACTTCAATGGTTAAAAATGGGATGAATTATGGGATGTATCTCTGGAATTATGAAAGTTGAAAGTAATAGCGCCCGATTCCCGACCGAGCTGAACGTTTTGATGTTTGAACAGAGTTTCTGCGATGTTGAATGTGGGAGGAGAAGACGGACAAAATAATTGGACGAAATAATAATAAACTTTTCGTCCGTAGCATAACATATAGTTGGAATGCTGTATCAGCATTCCAACTATATGTTAAGCACAGGGTGCTGGAAATCCTTGAAAATGCTTGAAATTGTACGAGGTGCTTTCAAGGTTTGAAAAGTGCTTGAATTTTGGGAATGGTGCTTGCATTTGGGATAAAGTGCTTGAAATTGTAAATGCTTTACTTCGCTTTTTAGATTAAAAGAAAATAAAGAAGTCAGAGCTTAATTGCTTCGCTTTTACATAAAACATCTTCGCTCCAGCTTTCCCTGCGGCAGCAGAGCCTTTCCCTAGACCTTTGATTTATTACCACCCTTTGATTTGATTTGTATTGTTTGTTTGCATACATATATTGTCTTCATACATACATACATACATTCTTCTCTTGCATACATATATTGTCTTCAGACATGCATATATTATTTATAATATTAAATGTAAACATTGAATGAATGTGCATGAGAGCAAAATGTATAAATATGAGCATTAAAATATATGAATATGAGAACAAAATGTAAAAATGTGTGAGTGAAAAACTTATAAATGTGTGAGTGACAATGTATGAATGTGTGCATTGAAATATGATAATATGAGAGCAGAATGTGTGAGTGTAAATATATACGTGTGTGAGAGTGAAAATATATGTATGTAAAAGGAGAATGTATGTGCGTGAGAGGACCAGTATGAATTACGGCCTGTACGGCCCCTCATACTTCCTCCCTCCCTCTGACATCTCTCCACCCTGCCCCAAATGGACACACACACACACACACACACACACACACACACACACACACACACACACACACACACACACACACACACACACACACACCACACACACACCACACACACACACACACACACACACACACACACACACACACACACACACACACACACACACACACACACACACACACACACACACACACACACACACACACACACACACACACACACACACACACACACACACACACACACACACACACACACACACACACACACACACACACACACACACACACACACACACACACACACACACACACACACACACACACACACACACACACACAGGCTGTTGTTACGCCTGCTGTCACGTTAAATTACTCCGTTCTCTGCTTGTCATTATGCCGTTAAAAGCTTCAAAGTTGTATTTATCATCTGAATTTGCCGAAACAAGTTTAATATTCTGAAAGCCAAGACTTTGTTTATTTGAAAACAGATGAAAACAAACGGTCTTTTATATAAAATGGAAGTATTATACAAGTAAAACTACATTTAGCTTTAATCCCATGTAATTGTAGAATGAACACAGTCTTCCTTTGAAGATGTATAAGTCAGGTGTCTTGAGTAGTCAACATTACAAATCATTGGACACATTTGGAAATATTATTTTCCACTTGTTACCATTGGGAGTCTATTTGTATGCAGCTCTGCGTGATTTAGTGGCTACAATTCAGGCTAATACGCTACCAGAGGTGGAGAAGTACTCAGGTCACTACTTGAGTAAAAGTAGAAGTACTCAGGTCACTACTTGAGTAAAAGTAGAAGTACTCAGGTCACTACTTGAGTACAAGTAGAAGTACTCAGGTCACTACTTGAGTAAAAGTAGAAGTACTCAGATCACTACTTGAGTAAAAGTAGAAGTACTCAGATCACTACTTGAGTAAAAGTAGAAGTACTCAGATCACTACTTGAGTAAAAGTAGAAGTACTCAGATCACTACTTGAGTAAAAGTAGAAGTACTCAGATCACTACTTGAGTAAAAGTAGAAGTACTCAGATCTTGTACTTGAGTAAAAGTAGAAGTACTCAGATCTTGTCCTTGAATAAAAGTAGAAGTACTCAGATCTTGTACTTGAGTAAAAGTAGAAGTACTCAGGTCTTGTACTTGAGTAAAAGTAGAAGTACTCAGGTCTTGTACTTGAGTAAAAGTAGAAGTACTCAGATCTTCTCCTTGAGTAAAAGTAGAAGTACTCAGATCTTCTCCTTGAGTAAAAGTAGAAGTACTCAGATATTGTACTTGAGTAAAAGTAGAAGTACTCAGATCACTACTTGAGTAAAAGTAGAAGTACTCAGATCACTACTTGAGTGAAAGTAGAAGTACTCAGATCACTACTTGAGTAAAAGTAGAAGTACTCAGATCACTACTTGAGTAAAAGTAGAAGTACTCAGATCACTACTTGAGTAAAAGTAGAAGTACTCAGATCACTACTTGAGTAAAAGTAGAAGTACTCAGGTCACTACTTGAGTAAAAGTAGAAGTACTCAGGTCACTACTTGAGTAAAAGTAGAAGTACTCAGGTCACTACTTGAGTAAAAGTAGAAGTACTCAGGTCACTACTTGAGTAAAAGTAGAAGTACTCAGATCACTACTTGAGTAAAAGTAGAAATACTCAGATCACTACTTGAGTAAAAGTAGAAGTACTCAGATCACTACTTGAGTAAAAGTAGAAGTACTCAGATCTTGTACTTGAGTAAAAGTAGAAGTACTCAGGTCTTGTTCTTGAATAAAAGTAGAAGTACTCAGATCTTGTACTTGAGTAAAAGTAGAAGTACTCAGGTCTTGTACTTGAGTAAAAGTAGAAGTACTCAGGTCTTGTACTTGAGTAAAAGTAGAAGTACTCAGATCACTACTTGAGTAAAAGTAGAAGTACTCAGATCTTGTACTTGAGTAAAAGTAGAAGTACTCAGATCACTACTTGAGTAAAAGTAGAAGTACTCAGATCTTGTACTTGAGTAAAAGTAGAAGTACTCAGATCACTACTTGAGTAAAAGTAGAAGTACTCAGGTCACTACTTGAGTAAAAGTAGAAGTACTCAGGTCACTACTTGAGTAAAAGTAGAAGTACTCAGATCACTACTTGAGTAAAAGTAGAAGTACTCAGGTCACTACTTGAGTAAAAGTAGAAGTACTCAGGTCACTACTTGAGTAAAAGTAGAAGTACTCAGATCACTACTTGAGTAAAAGTAGAAGTACTCAGGTCACTACTTGAGTAAAAGTAGAAGTACTCAGATCTTGTACTTGAGTAAAAGTAGAAGTACTCAGATCACTACTTGAGTAAAAGTAGAAGTACTCAGATCACTACTTGAGTAAAAGTAGAAGTACTCAGATCACTACTTGAGTAAAAGTAGAAGTACTCAGATCACTACTTGAGTAAAAGTAGAAGTACTCAGGTCACTACTTGAGTAAAAGTAGAAGTACTCAGGTCACTACTTGAGTAAAAGTAGAAGTACTCAGGTCACTACTTGAGTAAAAGTAGAAGTACTCAGATCACTACTTGAGTAAAAGTAGAAGTACTCAGGTCACTACTTGAGTAAAAGTAGAAGTACTCAGGTCACTACTTGAGTAAAAGTAGAAGTACTCAGATCACTACTTGAGTAAAAGTAGAAGTACTCAGGTCACTACTTGAGTAAAAGTAGAAGTACTCAGGTCACTACTTGAGTAAAAGTAGAAGTACTCAGATCACTACTTGAGTAAAAGTAGAAATACTCAGATCTTGTACTTGAGTAAAAGTAGAAGTACTCAGGTCTTGTTCTTGAATAAAAGTAGAAGTACTCAGATCACTACTTGAGTAAAAGTAGAAGTACTCAGATCTTGTACTTGAGTAAAAGTAGAAGTACTCAGGTCTTGTACTTGAGTAAAAGTAGAAGTACTCAGGTCTTGTACTTGAGTAAAAGTAGAAGTACTCAGATCTTGTACTTGAGTAAAAGTAGAAGTACTCAGGTCTTGTACTTGAGTAAAAGTAGAAGTACTCAGGTCTTGTACTTGAGTAAAAGTAGAAGTACTCAGGTCTTGTACTTGAGTAAAAGTAGAAGTACTCAGATCTTCTCCTTGAGTAAAAGTAGAAGTACTCAGATCTTCTCCTTGAGTAAAAGTAGAAGTACTCAGATCTTGTACTTGAGTAAAAGTAGAAGTACTCAGGTCACTACTTGAGTAAAAGTAGAAGTACTCAGATATTGTACTTGAGTAAAAGTAGAAGTACTCAGATCACTACTTGAGTAAAAGTAGAAGTACTCAGATATTGTACTTGAGTAAAAGTAGAAGTACTCAGATCACTACTTGAGTAAAAGTAGAAGTACTCAGATCTTGTACTTGAGTAAAAGTAGAAGTACTCAGATCACTACTTGAGTAAAAGTAGAAGTACTCAGATCACTACTTGAGTAAAAGTAGAAGTACTCAGATCACTACTTGAGTAAAAGTAGAAGTACTCAGATATTGTACTTGAGTAAAAGTAGAAGTACTCAGATCACTACTTGAGTAAAAGTAGAAGTACTCAGATCACTACTTGAGTAAAAGTAGAAGTACTCAGATCACTACTTGAGTAAAAGTAGAAGTACTCAGATCACTACTTGAGTAAAAGTAGAAGTACTCAGATCACTACTTGAGTAAAAGTAGAAGTACTCAGGTCTTGTACTTGAGTAAAAGTAGAAGTACTCAGGTCACTACTTGAGTAAAAGTAGAAGTACTCAGATCTTGTACTTGAGTAAAAGTAGAAGTACTCCGATCACTACTTGAGTAAAAGTAGAAGTACTCAGATCACTACTTGAGTAAAAGTAGAAGTACTCAGATCTTGTACTTGAGTAAAAGTAGAAGTACTCAGGTCTTGTTCTTGAATAAAAGTAGAAGTACTCAGATCTTGTACTTGAGTAAAAGTAGAAGTACTCAGGTCTTGTACTTGAGTAAAAGTAGAAGTACTCAGGTCTTGTACTTGAGTAAAAGTAGAAGTACTCAGATCACTACTTGAGTAAAAGTAGAAGTACTCAGATCTTGTACTTGAGTAAAAGTAGAAGTACTCAGATCACTACTTGAGTAAAAGTAGAAGTACTCAGATCTTGTACTTGAGTAAAAGTAGAAGTACTCAGATCACTACTTGAGTAAAAGTAGAAGTACTCAGATCACTACTTGAGTAAAAGTAGAAGTACTCAGGTCACTACTTGAGTAAAAGTAGAAGTACTCAGATATTGTACTTGAGTAAAAGTAGAAGTACTCAGATCACTACTTGAGTAAAAGTACTCAGATCTTGTACTTGAGTAAAAGTAGAAGTACTCAGATCACTACTTGAGTAAAAGTAGAAGTACTCAGATATTGTACTTGAGTAAAAGTAGAAGTACTCAGATCACTACTTGAGTAAAAGTAGAAGTACTCAGATCACTACTTGAGTAAAAGTAGAAGTACTCAGATCTTGTACTTGAGTAAAAGTAGAAGTACTCAGATCACTACTTGAGTAAAAGTAGAAGTACTCAGATCACTACTTGAGTAAAAGTAGAAGTACTCAGATCACTACTTGAGTAAAAGTAGAAGTACTCAGATCACTACTTGAGTAAAGTAGAAGTACTCAGATCACTACTTGAGTAAAAGTAGAAGTACTCAGGTCACTACTTGAGTAAAAGTAGAAGTACTCAGGTCACTACTTGAGTAAAAGTAGAAGTACTCAGATCTTGTACTTGAGTAAAAGTAGAAGTACTCAGGTCTTGTTCTTGAATAAAAGTAGAAGTACTCAGATCACTACTTGAGTAAAAGTAGAAGTACTCAGATCACTACTTGAGTAAAAGTAGAAGTACTCAGATCACTACTTGAGTAAAAGTAGAAGTACTCAGGTCACTACTTGAGTAAAAGTAGAAGTACTCAGATCACTACTTGAGTAAAAGTAGAAGTACTCAGATCTTGTACTTGAGTAAAAGTAGAAGTACTCAGGTCTTGTTCTTGAATAAAAGTAGAAGTACTCAGATCACTACTTGAGTAAAAGTAGAAGTACTCAGATCTTGTACTTGAGTAAAAGCAGAAGTACTCAGATCTTGTACTTGAGTAAAAGCAGAAGTACTCAGATCTTGTTCTTGAGTAAAAGTAGAAGTACTCAGATCTTGTACTTGAGTAAAAGTAGAAGTACTCAGATCTTGTACTTGAGTAAAAGTAGAAGTACTCAGATCTTGTTCTTGAGTAAAAGTAGAAGTACTCAGATCTTGTTCTTGAGTAAAAGTAGAAGTACTCAGATCTTGTACTTGAGTAAAAGTAGAAGTACTCAGATCTTCTCCTTGAGTAAAAGTAGAAGTACTCAGATCTTGTACTTGAGTAAAAGTAGAAGTACTCAGATCTTGTACTTGAGTAAAAGTAGAAGTACTCAGATCTTCTCCTTGAGTAAAGGTAGAAGTACTCAGATCTTGTACTTGAGTAAAAGTAGAAGTACTCAGATCTTGTTCTTGAGTAAAAGTAGAAGTACTCAGATCTTGTACTTGAGTAAAAGTAGAAGTACTCAGATCTTGTACTTGAGTAAAAGTAGAAGTACTCAGATCTTGTTCTTGAGTAAAAGTAGAAGTACTCAGATCTTGTACTTGAGTAAAAGTAGAAGTACTCAGATCTTGTTCTTGAGTAAAAGTAGAAGTACTCAGATCTTGTACTTGAGTAAAAGTAGAAGTACTCAGATCTTGTACTTGAGTAAAAGTAGAAGTACCAGAGTGTAGGAATACTCTGTTACAGTAAAAGTGCTGCATTCAAAATGTTCCTCAAGTGAAAGTAGAAAAGTATTATCATCAAAATACAGTTAAAGGGGACCTATCATGCAAAATGCACTTGTGTACGTCTTTTCTACATGAATATGTGTCCCCGGTGTTCCAGGGAACTCACCAAGTGTCAGAAAACACAACCCTCTCTATTTTCCTCCATACCCAAATCTCTAAAAAAGGGGCTGCAACAGATCTGATAAAAACTGATCCAGATTTGAACACTGTCCTGACGTCAGGACGGTGGCGCTACGGCTATTGGGCCAACTCCACCAATCAGGAGGAGACAGCCACGGCCATTGCCGTTCGAAAGCGCTGGAGACGCTGTAGTACATATGCCAGGCCTGTAGGTGGTGCTGTTCTCACTGAATCTGCCCAGAGCTAAAACAGAGCTAAACAATGTCAAATTGAGCAAAATGAGGCATGGCTAAAATGCATGATCTGTTTGGTATTTTGAAAAACAAAAAGTATAAATATGCCTTATATAGGTATGGCCCTACAATATATTATTCAAATATAGCATGATAGGTCCACTTTAAAGTAGCGACAGTGAAAGTAGTCATTGTGCAGATTGGTCCATTTCAGAATAATATATATGATATGTTTTATAATGATTGATCATGAAAGTGTTCTCAAAGCTGGTAAAGGTGCAGCTAGTTTGAATGACTTTGTATACTGCAGGGTAGCTTGTGGATTTACTCCAGGTGGAACTCAAGTCTGATTTAACACTTGATTATATTTCACATCATTCATCCACATCTGTGAAGTAACTAAAGGTATTAAATACATGTAGTGGAGGAAAAGTACACCATGTACCTCTGACTTATGTTTACTGCCAACCTAAAAGTACCTCAGAAATAGTAATCAATAATGTATTGAAAGGTTATTTGGCTGATTGTTTTATATTACAATAATCATTTGAGTATAAGTATGTGTATATAAATATGTAATTTACAACAGCTGTAAGATGCTTGAAAATGCACCTTGAATTTGACTTTGGAAAAGGTGTAAGAACCCTGTAAGCGACTCTTACTTTGAGTTTGCTCCCCACGGCGGGCGTGTTCTGGATCTCCCACATGGCTTCAGTGAAGCCTTTGATCCGGACGCCGCTGCCGAACTTCAGCTTGTTCCCGACGTACGGCACGATGTTCTCCGGAGGGATCGTTCCTCTGAGGACGGATATTACACTTTGAAGTCATCATGTCTTTGCTGTCAGGATTACAGTGTGTGTGTGTGTGTGTGTGTGTGTGTGTGTGTGTACGTACATCTGATGCGTTCCGAAGAAGTAGACTGGGATTCTCTTATTTCTTCCACCGCCGACAAACGGACACACCTGAACACACAGAATATCATGTTAGCTAGGAATACACATCTCTGTGTGTGTGTGTGTGTGTGTGTGTGTGTGTGTGTGTGTGTGTGTGTGTGTGTGTGTGTGTGGTGTGTGTGTGTGTGTGTGTGTGTGTGTGTGTGTGTGTGTGTGTGTGTGTGTGTGTGTGTGTGTGTGTGTGTGTGTGTGTGTGTGTGTGTGTGTGTGTGTGTGTGTGTACCCTGGCAGGCCAGTGGGGGAACCCCTTCATCTTGGCGAACACCAGGTCTCCCTGTTTGAACTGGTCACCGTGTTCCCCCGGCATCGTGATAACTCTCACCTTAATGACAGAGAAACAGCCTGAAAGAAAACAGAAATATATTGAGATGACTTAATAACCATCATGTAATCAAGGGGCGTCTGAAAGACACATTTACTCATTCATTATATATATGTATATATACCAGTTTTAGTTTCACATGATGTGTAACTCTTCTCTTATCTTATTAAAAGTACATATTTATATCTGGTATGTAATTAAGGAGTAGTATAAAGTGACATCAAATGAAAATACTTAAGCTAATGCAACTACCTGCAATCTGTATTTGAGTAAATGTACTTTATTTACTTTCAGACCATGAAACACTGTTTATTGTTGTACCGTTAACTGTTGACAGTTGTTATCTGAAATGTATAAACCACATTCAAGTTTAAACAGGTCGTTTATTTCAATGTATAAGCATCAAAAACCTATTCCATTCAGTGTTTAGAAAGGGTGAAGTGTAAACTGTGACATACACTGAGTAGTTTCTGTGTAGAGTATCATATATTTTGCATTCATTTAGTAGCATTTATACATATATTACTGTTAATGCAAATGTGAGATATAATCCAGACAAACAAAGAGTATTAAAAGAACAATATGTATCTCTGATATGTAGCTAAGGAGTATAAAGTGACCTTAAAATATAGTTTCCAACCATAGGAAACGGTTCATTGTAAGGCTTTACCTGTTGCTAGATGTTATCTGAAAGGTATAAACCACATTCAAAGAGAGAACAGGTCGTTTCCTTCCATCAGAAACGTTTTTTAACCCGTTTTTAAGTATGTTTTGTTTCATTTCCAGCTCGTCTTTGTTTACAAATACAGACTGCTAGCTCTGAAGCTAACTTTAGCATGTGGCTAAACCCTGAGCTGTAGCTGGACCCTAACTCTCTGTGGTTCATATCTATCTTAATGCAAGTTTACCGGGACATTAGAAGGTTTACATACCGTAAGAAACCCAGGGGTTATGGTGTGAATCCGGAGATAAAGTCTCTGCTTTCTCTCGTTTCTAAGCTACGATCCTTCTCCTTCTTCTGTCGCCATGGTTGTACATCTGTCGCCAAACTTGTACATCGTGTCGCGTGACAAACAGCGCTTTCCCGCTGGCAGTTGGACTGTACCATTGTGTGGGGAGACTGGACTATACCAACTCGAGGTAAATCTGTTAGAAAATGTAAAATAAAACGAATTTTGGACAAAGACAAATATAAAGACAATTATTATCTTTCAAGGAAACGTGTTAAGATATTTTTAATTACTCTTAATGTAGATTTTATGCCAAATTATTCTTTACAGCCTTTAAGAGGATAGTGTGCTGGACTTCGAATCAGAGGGTAGCAAGTTCGAGTCCCACTGCAGTCAGCATGTCGTTGTGTCCCTGAGACACTTCTCCTCAAAGTGCTCCTGTGGGGATTGTCCACAGTACTGAATGTATGTAAGTCGCTTTGGATAAAAGCGTCTAACAAATGACATGTAATAATAATTAAGAGGCACATATTTAACTTTCTACTACACTATATTTAGTTGTGTAGTGCCGAGAGAAGGGAGTCGGAGGCGGTGCATCGAAGGTGCAAAGTTGGTTTTATTCAGCAGCAGAAAACCACATGTTGCCGGCTTGAAGCCCGGGAAGCAAAGAGGAAGAAGCAAGGAGGGCACACAATAAGTACAGTCAACAACATATATGTCCGTGCAGAAACAATACCCCCAACCTGTAGTTCCATGAGTGAATTATGATAAACAGTGATAAACAGCGATCACTACAGTTGATAGATTTCATATTCAAACTATACACACAATATTAAAGCTATGTTCACATTGATTAATCGATTTCTGAGTAATTATATTATATTATAATATTTATGATTCAGGGATGGGCTATTCTATTGAACGAGTACTTTTACTTTTGTACTGTAAGTACTTTGGTGCTTTCACTGTTTAATACACAACTTTTATTGACTGACATATTTCTTGTTACGTACTGGTACCGACAAGTTAAAATAAATACAGAATGAAACGATGTACAAGTGTGTTTCTTCAGGAATAGAGTATACAATGGGCAGAATTGACAAACCCATGCATTGTATTTTAAGAGATATGATATGACAAAGTTGTAAATATTTACATGTTTATTACAAAAGCATGTTTCTCAAACCCAGCAGACAGAACATAGAGCTGGTTGTTATGGTGTTTTTTAATACAATACCTGCTTTTTAGTACTGATACCAAAAGAAAAGCAAAGAAAAATGTGTTTTATTTAACAAAGAATATGTAAGATTTCTAAATACACAAAGAGATGTTGGTGTAAATCAGGATCGATCTGATCAGAGTAAATACATTACAAGTCTGACAGGGAATTTATAAAAGCTTTTTACAGTCCAACACTTCATATTTTAGTGTGTGATCATGTGTTCTTATATCAGTTCATCAACAGTCAGTTCGTCCAGTTTTTAATCACTTCCACTATCTCTATCTTCTTCTTCTTCCTCCTCCTCTTCCTCCTCCTCCTCCTCCTCCTCCTCCTTCCTCCACGAGTCCGGCGAAGAAGTCGTTTTCTCCGTGATCAGCTGATCGTGGGCGCTGCTCACCAGGACGGGTTCTCCGACATGTTGCCCGATGCACCCGATGACCCGGTTGGGAAAGAGGTTCACGGCTCTGATGGAGGAAGGAGAGACATTTATATATAAGCATTCAATAAGGGTGAGGAATCAGGCTTATTGGTACAAGAGTGGTGGCCAACCAGGACAACACATTCACTTCATTTCATTGTTATTGGTTCCGTTCAACAAATATTTACAAATCATGTCTCTATAAACACACGGACCCGAAAAGGAGCAGGGAGAAGAAAATGATCTGATAGTACCATGCCCCTTTCTCTAAATAAAGAAATACATTGAAACAGATGGTCTGTCCTTCATATTTAAAATCCAAAGCAACTTGGATTGTCTCAGAACTAAAGGGTTGTTGGACTATACATTCATGAAGAAACCCATTCAGGCCACAATAACATCATATTGGACCATTTAAAGAGCATTTTGGTCCAAGTTATAGCATCAAGAAACCAGTTCATGATCCAAGAGTCATTCAGTTCTACCATTCAAAAAGTAGTTTGGACTACTTGAAGATGCGTAACCATCTCAAGCCATGATGACATCAGCTCAGACCATTACAAGCTGATTATTTGTATCATTTTAGAAAAGAAAGAAACCAGTATATGGAACCAAGATCATGTCTGACCATTACAACCAATTCTTCAGATTACAGCAGCATTGTTAAAAGAATACCTTGTACCACACAAACGCCCATTGGACTACGAAAAGACCACCATGGATCTGGAACACTGGAAGAAGTGTAACGACTGTGTCATTTAATCAAAATACTTTTTTGAATTGGTCTAATTAAAGGTGGGGTAGGTAACTTTGGAGAAACCAGCTCGAGTGCGCTAGAATTTGAAAATACACAGCTGGAAAAACTCTGCCACTTCCTCACAGAGCCCCTCCTCCAACACACACGAACGCGCACATGACCAATGAGGGCACCAGATAAGTTTGTGCACAGATGGAAGGCTGACAGGCAAGTGGCGATTCTTTGTGGTGTCGGTTTGACTAGTGAAAAGTTTAAATAGTTGCAAATGTTATATTGGTTTCACATGAGGTATTTGTATGTGGCTATGGGTTAGCAAGTTTAGCCACGTGTTAGCTAGTTTTTAAGCAGTTTAACCAGGTCATCTTCATAAATGTATCATGCATGGGGCGCACTGACTAGTGGAAAGGTTGAGTTGTTGCAAACGTCATTTATTTATGTGTATATATATATATACCTGTTGACGAGCAAACCGTGCCAGTCTGCTCTGTGCCTGGGTGTGGTCTGATCAAGGCCCGGGACACACACACACACACACACACACACACACACACACACACACACACACACACACACACACACACACACACACACACACACACACACACACACACACACACACACACACACACACACACACACACACACACACACACACACACACACGACTGAAATGCATATAACTGAGTGGCATGGGCCTTTGGAGTAAAAAGGAGAGAGTGTTTAATTCAAGCTTGTTTATGAACAGGGGCTGGGGCCGTCGGGGGCTAAACAGAGCACATAGTACAACGCTAACTTCATCAGCATCGCATGTCTTCATTCAAAAAATGCATTTAAAATACGTGCTCCGCTCATAAAAAACACTGCAGCATATTAAATACACTAACAGCCAGACCCCAGCCAGCGTTAGAGCAACACACTCTCACTCCATCAACGTCCAGGAGCGACGCTTGGTCAGGGTCCATTGATAGGTTTTAGTGTACAATGCTTTTGTCACGTTCTCCCCTTCAATTCTGAGAAACAAGTCGTTCTCTATGAGTTTTGGATGGCCGAAGACACTACATTACCCACAATCCTTGTTTCTCAGAATTGAAGGGGAACACGTGACAAAAGCATTGCACACTAAAACCTATCAATGTGGTTTAATTAACAAGATAATCTGGTGTTTCTGAGTTGATGAGTAGTGGAGATATCTCTGTCAAATCAATCCACAGTAAGGGGAATACTTACTTCCGGGTGTACAATTCTCCGTTATCCAATGGGAATGGACGCTCACATTGCCTTAACAGCCTCCGACACAAACGAATGCCGTGCTTCCATGAGCGTCAAATCCCGCCGCCGATGGGAATACATTGCAATCAGTTGAAAGCTCTTTGCGTCCCTTTATGAAGCTGAAGGAGCCTCGGAGCGTCCCAACTGCACGCCTCGGGACCCTGACCAAGCGTCGCTCCTGGACGCTCAGGACCCTGACCAAGCGTCGCTCCTGGACGCTTAGGGACCCTGACCAAGCGTCGCTCCTGGACGCTCAGGACCCTGACCAAGCGTCGCTCCTGGACGCTCAGGACCCTGACCAAGCGTCGCTCCTGGACGCTCAGGACCCTGACCAAGCGTCGCTCCTGGAGGCCTCAGGACCCTGACCAAGCGTCGCTCCTGGACGCTCAGGACCCTGACCAAGCGTCGCTCCTGGACGCTCAGGGAGTGAGAGTGTGTTGGTTAGAGATGTTTATACTTTTGGCGAGCCGTTATTAAAGCTCCGGGAGCGCTATAGTTATGTGGCTGAAGGTGTATCTCTGCTCTGCAGCAACCCGCACTCGGACCACGCCGCTCCGGAGAGTGGGCTGTAAACAGTGGGGACGGGGGGAAACAAACAACCCGCTGCCCGTCTTGTTAACCATGCTTTGAGGGTGTGTGCTTTATGCTGGGTTAACATCGTTTAAATACACCTTATTTATGTATTTCCTTTGTGTTTACTGGTTTGCTGTTTCCACTGAAGGTCACCATTTATGCTGATTTGGTAAGTTCCAAAATGAACTGTATGTAGTTTTCATGTACGTTTAAAAAGGAATGACAAACCCAAAATGGAGACTTACTCTACTCTAATCTCAAGTGATAATATATCTAGGCAATCATTTGCTCTGTCATTCCAGGCATGTCACTATTGTAAGAGAGACGTTTGCTTTCAGTGTATCATTATTACTAATAGTTGTTGATGTTCTTGTTTGTTCTAGTTCCTTTGGGGCTGCCTGACATGACCGTGAAAACGCCAGCCAAGTTGAGAATTCTTGTGAATCCCGATGACTCCAGGAAGCTAGTTCTGCCTAATGGCATCCCAGAGACAATGGAGCAGCTTACTGATGAAGTCAGGAAAGTGTGTGGAGGTTTGAGAATGCAATATCAAGACAGAGACGTTGGAGATGCACTAGTCAACCTGACATCCACTGCTGACCTTGAAGATTTGACAACTATCAAGGTCATCCCAACGCCTGATGATGGTGTCCAAGAATACATCTTTACCGTCGTTGAAGAAGCAGTGTCTGCTCAATCAGACGATACTGACATCTTGTCCACACCCTCCAGCTCAGGCTCTACAAGAACTCGTATCTGGTTGAAATGATTGAACTGACACAAAAGGCCGACCTTGTTCAAAGATTGCAATGCTAGTGATTGAACTGCATT